ATTAGAGGTTGCTAAGTGGAGATTTTTCTATTATTCACTTCGTTTTTACTAGCTTGGATTCTTCTACAGAAAATAACTTTCTGGGCACCTAGGTGGCTCAGTCAGTTAAGCATCCGACACTTGATTTTGGCTCAGGTCATGATCTCACATCTCACGCTTATGAGCTCAGCATCAGCTCGACGCTGAGCATGGAGCCTGCTTGGGATTCTCTCTATCCTCTCTGTTCCTCTCCCCTGCTTGTGCTCTCTCTCTCAAAATAAATAAACATTAAAAAAAAAGAAAGAAAATTACTTTCCCTCATCAATATTTGATTACCCTGAAGTTTAGATACAGGAAAGGTAGAATAGATGCTGGAGTCTTTTATTTTCTGGTTTTCAGAATAAAGCTGCTAAGGCAACCTCCAAAGGTGACCAATGGGTTTCTTATTTTTAATATCATTTGAACTCATAGATTTTCACATATTTGTTGTGTTTAAATCAACTGCAGATATTATTCAACTCTTTAATTGTCCCATTTTGGGCCAGTAGTAGTCTCTTTATTTGACTCCCGTGTCCTTTTGGCAAGACTAACATAGTTTTGATAACCCTCTTGCTTTCTGGCATAAGATGTCTTAGGCTCATTTTGTCCCACACCTGGAATCAACCATTTCTATGAGGAGTACGAGTTTCTTTTTAGAGACCATGTTAACCCAATTGCCTTCCCATTTCTCTTAAAAGCCCAAAATACCTATCATGGTATAGTACCATGCTTCCTAACATTGGTATATCACAGATGGGTTATATTCATAAGTGGAAAATTGATCTCTTTAGAGCTCTGAGTTGATTGTAGGGCCTGTGTTATCTGAAGAAACTGGGTGTAAGCAACTTGATCTATTTTTCACAGTGGGGCATACAATATTTTCTGTGATTGCAATGATGTGAAAACAGTTGGGAGGTGTAGGTATAATGAATAAACATATATATTTGTCAGCTCAACAGACCTTTCTTTGGTGAACCTCCTCTTCTCCATCCAGGTCTAAGTCTATTTAGTCTATGTAATCAAGATGAGCCTGACAGGGCTCTTCCCCTCCTTCCTCATCCATACAGATAATTGCATCCCCAGAATGGATACATGCATGATCCAGGCCTGGGCTAGTAGAGGATTCCACTCTGCCCATCTGGTCAGTTCAGGGATGGGTATGTAAGCTAAAGTTGGCTACTTAGAGCCTTTTCTTTTTTTTTTTCTTTTAAAAAAATTTTTTTTTTTTAACGTTTATTTATTTTTGAGACAGAGAGAGACAGAGCATGAATGGGGGAGGGGCAGAGAGAGAGGGAGACACAGGATCCAAAGCAGGCTCCAGGCTCTGAGCCATCAGCCCAAAGCCCGACGCGGGGCTCGAACTCACAGACCGCCAGATCGTGACCTGAGCTGAAGTCAGACGCTTAACCGACTGAGCCACCCAGGAGCCCCTACTTAGAGCCTTTTCTGGTACTTCTGCCCAAACCATTTTTCTCTGGAATTGTGAGTTACAAAGATGTTGCAAGCTTGGGGCTGCCAGTGGCCATCTTGCCACAAAATGTAGAGAACCTGAAAGTAAAGTCAAGCAGAGGCATGTAGAACTAAAAGAAAAAGACACAGTCCTAATGACATTCTTTGGACTCCTAACTCAAACCATGCCTAAAGTTAAAATACCTCTTACTTACCACTGGAGGACACCCTACTGCCTGAGGTCTACATGGCTTTGCATTGTCCCTCTATACCCTCAACTAATAGGACTCTTTTTCTCAGTCCTTTCCTAGCCACCTTAGACCTACTTGTAGTTCCATGAAAGCCCCAAGATCTTACCACCTTCAGCCTGAAATGCACTTGTCCCACTCTTCACCAGTCCAAATCATTCTCTCCACCAGCCTTAGTTAGTCATTACATCCTTAGCAAAACAGTCCCTGACTTTCCTGTTCAGGTCAGGTCCCCTGTTAGTCATCCTCATAGCTGGCTATCCTTCTCTCTCATTGTCCTTCCCTTAAGCATAATCATTTGTGTAATCACTTCACTAATTAATTTCTAATGTTCCTGCCAATATGGACATTCCATGAGGGTAGCAACTCTGTATACTTTGTTCATTGCTTTATTCCCAACAATGACACGGTGATTTGTACATAGTAGGTACCCTTTGAATATATATTGAAAGTATGAATAAATAATTTTAAGGCTTAAGGTACATATACATAATAATTGTTTATTAAAAATGTACATTCACAATGTTAAAATACATTAAATTACAAAAAAGTTTGCGGTAGTCAAAAATGGCACCTAAAATATCCTCTCACAATAAATTACTCTTGAGCAGATGCAGATAAGTAGTTTATCCTCCCCAAAACAAAAATTACATACGGATTTATTTCACTTTATGCAAGATAACTGGAGGAGTTTAAGTGTAGGCAAGTTTAGCAAGGTAACATGGAGATGCTTTGTGAAGCTATAAATCCCTTCAAATATACAAATCATTTTCTTATTAAGTTTAGGTTTTCAAAAACGTATCTTTTCTGAAATGCATACTATTTTTCAGTTTTTCATACCTTAAGGTCTCCTATCATCCTTTGCAGTTTATACTCCACTTGTCCCACTCAAGAACTCAGTTAGTGATTTTTTCCTCAAACTTTACCTCCCTGCTCTCTCCTCCACCCCATGTCACTTCCTTATCTTCTTTTGTGCCAAGATGTGTGCTGGCATAATCCCCCAGAAAAGAAAGCATTCTTAATAAAGGAAAGGTGTTAGTTGTTGTTGCAAGGTTATAGTTTATATGAATCTTATTCAATATTATAAGTCTTTGGAAATTGGGAAACTTCTCTGTCATACTTTCTTGCATAGAAACAGTCTATTATTGTAGGATAACAGCCCCAGTCATTGGGCTTCAATTATGTTTCTCAAATATTTCTGCTAATAGGAGTCATTGGTATGCATAACTTGATTTGCTCGAAAATAAGCAATTAACTGCTCTTAAAATTTTCTGGGTTATTTCCTATACAATAAAAAATTTAGTGGTTCAGTGTGTGGACTCTAAAGACAGACTGTTACTGAGACAAATCTTTTCTCTGTGCCTCTGTTCCTTTATCTGTAAAATGGTGTCATAACAGCACCTTTGCTTTATAAGACTGCTATGAAAATATACATTATACATTACGTGCAATATGAAAAGAACTCTATACATGTTTGCTATTATTTTCATCATTACCATTTTTGCTATTACTATCTAAACCAAGGGTGGAGTTTACTCTTTTAAGATTAGAGCCCCAAAAATGTAAGACTGAGGAAGGAGCTGCAGAACATCAGGGAAAAGAGATCCCAGAACTTGACCAAATAGCCAGAAACCTGGCTATGGCTCTGATAAGTCTAACTGAAGCAGAGTCTCACTATGGGGGGCGGAAAAGAGTAAAAACAATCTCTAAAATTTAACCATGGGATGATTTCTGTCAGATTAAGCTTTCTATTAGGGCTGAAGAAGTTGGATTTAAGAGTACAGCAAATTTCAGGGCGGCTGGGTGGCTCAGTCGGTTAAGTGTCTGACTTCAGTTCAGGTCATGATCTCATGGTTTGTGGGTTCAAGCCCTGCATTGGGCTCTGTGCTGACAGCTTGGAGCCTGCTTCCAATTCTGTGTCTCCCTCTCTCTCTGCCCCTCCCTTGCTTGTACTCTGTCTCTATCTCTCAAAAATAAACATTTAATAAAAAAATTAACATGAATTCCTAAATAAAAATAGGGTTATTAAAAAAAAAAAAAAGAGTACAGCTAACTTCAATAGCAAAAAAAGCCAGTCTGATTTAAAAATGTGTAGAGGAGGGGCACCTGGCTGGCTCAGTCAGTAGAGCATGTAATTCTTGATCTCAGTTCAAGCCCTACATTGGGGGTAGAGCTTACTTAAAAAAAAAATTTTTTTTTTTTTTAAGATCTGAATGGATATTTTTCCAAAGGGCATACATATGGTATAAGAAAGCGGGTTCATAAAAGGATGCTCCACATCACTAATCCACAGGGAAATGCAAATGAAAACCACAATAAGATGTCATCACCTCACACGAGTTAAAATGGCTATTATCAAAGAAGACAAGAAATAACAAGTGAGAATGTGGAGAAAAGGGAACCCTTGTGTCCTGTTTGTGGGAATGTAAACTGGTGCAGCCACTGTGGAAAACAGAATGGAGGTTCCTCAAAAAATAAGAACTACCAAAAGATGTGGCAATCCCTCTTATGGGTATATATCCAAAGGAGATGAAGGCAGAATTTTAAAGAGATATGTGCACTTCCATGTTCATTGCAGCATTATTCACAAATGCCATGATATGGAAACAACACAGATGTCTATCAGTGGATGAATAAAGATGTGTGTATGTGTTGGAATATTATTCAGCCATGAGAAATAAGGAGATCCTGCCATTTGTGAAAACATGGGTGGACCGTAAGGGCATTATGCTAAGTGAAAGAAGTCAGACAGAGAGGGACAATACTATCTGATATTACTTGTATGTGAAATCTAAAAGAACTTAACTGTTAGAAGCAAAGAGTGGGATGGTGGTTGACAGGGGCTAAGGGGTGGAGGAAATGGGATGTTGGTCAGAGAACAAACTTCTTGTGATAAGATGACTATATTCTGGGGATCTGTTATACAGCATGGTGATCACAATTAATAATACTGTATTATATACTTAAAAGTCGCAAAAGAGAGTAGATCTTAAATGTTCTCACCACAAAAAAAAGAAATGATAATTATGTGATAGGATGGAGGTGTTGGCTAGTGCTATGGTGGTAATCATTTTGCTATATAAAAGTTTATCAAATCATCACATTGTACACTTTAAACTTACACAATAAAGCTGTAAAAACAAACAAACAAAAGATCCAGAGAGAAGATATCCATTTACAAGTCAAGGAATGACCTCAGAACAAACTAACTAACCCTGCTGATGATCTTGGTCTTAGACTTCTAGCCTCCAGAACTGTGAGAAATAAATTTCTGTTTTTCAAGCCAAAAAAAAAAAAAAAAAAAAAAAGAAAGAAAAGAAAGAAAGAGAGAAAGTAAAAGGGGGAAAAAACCCACAAGAATACAACAAACATAGTATAAAGTGCAGATTATAGTGTTTACTTGTTTGCTTTCAGATTTGAAAATAGAATTTACAGTAGGAAACATTTGGAAAAATATTTAGAAATATTTTTGCATTTTTTGGTAATATTGATTATCCACATACATAATTCTATACTAGTTCCTTTTATCAGCATTCAATTTATGTAGAGGTAGAAATGTACACATAGAGAGTATGATTTAGCCAACTTCAAGTAAACTCAGTAAACTGTTAGATTAAAGCAATTTTACCTAAAATATTTATTAGCCTAATTAGATTGGGGCTGTCATGCCCATCCAAATTTAAAATTCTGCAGTTCTGAATAGCTACATAGACATTGTTTGGAAACTGCTGTGTCTTCCCTGTCACTACTGAGAAATGGGAAAAGTAAATAAACTAAATAATTTAATTAAATAAAGTAATAGTTTTTCTCCAGAATTTAAGGGAGTTGAAAAATGTCAGTAATTTTAATAAACAGTTTGCTATTCCGTATATGTATACAGTAACATACCTGGCTTATGTTTCTAAAGTGAATTATTTATTAGTACTTGAAAGAAAAAAATAATTAGTCCTACCAAAGGTAGTGAAATCCATCTTGATCTCTTAATCTTCTTTACTGCTCAAATATTAGAATTATTTGTACTTTCTCCTATTAGGGAACTAAAATAGGACAGAAGGTATAGAATTAAAAATAATGCCTTATAGAAGGTAAGGTAGGATGGTAGGCATGGTAAATGGAAAAGTTAAGAGTCATGATTTTTATTTCATAAGGAAATTCGATAATAGAAGCTGCATTTTTTAAATAAATAAAAAGTAGGTATCTTCAAACATAGGTACCTCTATTTAGGTAGATAATTTCTATAATTTCATTTTTTTTGTTATTGGTAATTCATAAAGAACTCTCCTTATGGCTTCCCTGCATAAATACTTTCTCATTATTTTAATGACACCTCTGCAGTTTGAATTAAGAGCACAACTTCATATTTATAAACCACTGTCCACTCATGAGTTCATGTAACCGCTAAAGAGGTGTTATATGAAGAATACTTTTTGAAATGCAGAAATTATGAACCAGAGTGTTTTTATATTATATTACTGTTCGTATTTACATGTAGAATTCCCTATATTAATCAATATATGTTCTTGTTATTCAAAATACATAATATTTGCAGCCTGACTTTTGGAAATTGACTCATAGCAACTGTCTTACAGAGCCCTGGAAGAAGAAACCCCATATAAGTACTTTCCATCATAGAGTTAGGTTACTCTTGAATCCTTCCATGCCTTACAGAAAAAGGAACAAGTCTTCTGTAAACCACACCCAGGAGCATGATGGTAAGCACCACTATTCCACACACAAGGCTGAATGCCCATCGTGGACCCCAGGAAGTGTACACTTGGCTGATGAACACGGGTCCAAGAATCCGTGCTGCACTTCCAGAAGCTGTTAACCAGCCCATGTACACACCCTGTGGTGGAGAGAGAGAGAAGCAGACTGATATTTAGGTTTAGTCATTTTAAAAATAAGGGTGAAAGTACTATTACCAAACTATGACAAACTCACAAAAAACACTTTCTCCATCTTTTATTTTTAAATTAAATACAAAATGTCTCTCTATAAATACAGCAAATAATGAACAGTATACTTACGTGATTAGTCAGTTTAAGAAAAATAAAAGTAGTATAAACATACAAACAATGTCCAATGTCTACTGAAGCCATGGAAACAATAAAGTTTTTTAAATCTACCCTTTATGGCTAACATTTATTTTGTACTTACTATATTCCCAACACTGTGCTGGGTACTTTACATATATTGTTTCCAATATACACAAATTTCTGCAACTGTTATTACCCTCATTTAACAAATGTGAAAGCTGAAGCTTAGAAAATTCGAGTAATTGTCCAAAATATTTTGAAGGTTTGTTTGGCTGAATCCACTATACCACTTTCCACTATACCATAATGTCACTCTTCCAACTACTATACTCCAAACTATAACCAATACAATCTACCCAAGAATGTACAGTGCAGTAACACTTTTAATATCTCCAAATTAAAAACAGCCTAACCGTCAATCAATGGTGGATTAAGTAAATATATTACAGTGTATTTAATGAATAGAATGCTAATCAGTTGCTTAAAAGTATAAGGTCCTATATAGAGTAAGATATTATAATTAGAACATCTATATGCACTAACAAGGAAAGAAGACTATGGCTATTAAGTAAAACACTACAAGATGCAAAAAAATGTTACATACATGAGATAGAATATATTGTTTTATTTTTTTAATTTTTTAATTTTAATTAAAAAAAATTTTTTTAATGTTTATTTTTGAGAGAGAGAGAGAGAGAGCCAGAGCATGAGGGGGGAGGAGCAGAGTGAGAGGGAGACACAGAATGCAAAGCAGGGTCCAGGCTCTGAGCTGTCAGCACAGAGCCCAATGCAGGGCTCAAGCCCATGAACCATGAGATCATGACCTGAGCCAAAGTCAGACAATTCTTTTTTTTTTTTTTAACTTTTATTTATTTTTGGGACAGAGATAGACAGAGCATGAACGGGGGAGGGGCAGCGAGAGAGGGAGACACAGAATCGGAAACAGGCTCCAGGCTCTGAGCCATCAGCCCAGAGCCTGACGCAGGGCTCGAACTCACGGACCGCGAGATGGTGACCTGGCTGAAGTCGGATGCTTAACCGACCGCCCCCCCCGGGCCCCCCCCCCTTTTTGATTTTTGTTTTTTTTTTTAAAGGCATGAGTGTGTTCTAGGGGCATCTGGGTGGCTCAGTTGGTTAAGCGTTTGACTCTTGATTTTGGCTCAGGTCATGATTTCACGCGAGCCCCACGTGGGGCTTCGAGCTAACAGCACAGAGCCTGCTTAGGATTCTCTGTCTCCCTTTCTCTCTGCCCCTCCCCAGCTTGCTCTCTGTCTCTCTCTCTCTCTCAAAAAAAAATAAAGTTAAAAAAAATTTTTTTTAAGGCATGAGTGCATCCTAAAATTTGTATGGAACCAGAAAATACTCCCAAATAGCCAAAATAATGATGAAAAAGCAAAGCAAAGTGGGAGGCATCACAATTCTAGTCTTCATGTATGTATTATAAAGCTGTAATCATCAAGATAATATGGTACTAGCACAAAAACAGACACATAGATAAATGGAACAGAATACAGAATCCAGAAATGGACCCACAACTATATGGTCAACTAATCTTTGACAGAGCAGGAAAGAATATCCAATGGAAAAGAAGACAGTCTCTTCAATAAATGGTGTTGAGAAAACTGGATAGTGACATACAGACAAATGAAATTGGACCACATTCTTAAACCATACATGAAAATAAATTCAAAATGGATGAAAGACCCTAAATGTGAGACAGGAAACCACCAAAATCCTAGAGGAGAACACAGCAGCAATCTCTTTGACATTGGACATAGCAATTTCTTACTAGACACATATCCAGAGGCAAGGGAAGCAAAAGCAAAAATGAACTATCTGGCACTTCATCAAGAGAAAAAACTTCTGCACAGCAAAGGAAACAATCAGCTAAACTAAAAGGCAACCAATGGAATGGGAGAAGATATTTGCAAATGACATATTGGATAAAGGGCTAGTATCCCAAATCAATAAAGAACTTATAAAACTCAACACCCAAAAACCAAATAACCCAGCGAAAAAAACAGCAGAAGACATGAACAGGCATTTCTCCAAAGATGTACAAATGGCTAATAGATACATGAAAAGATGCTCACTGTCACTCATCATCACAGAAATACAAATCAAAACCATAATGAGATACCACCTCACAGCTGTCAGAATGGCTAAAATTAACAACTCGGGCAACAACAGATGTTGGCGAGGATGTGGAGAAAGGGGAACCCTCTCACACTGTTGGCGGGAATGCAAACTGGTGCAACCACTTTGGAGAACAGTATGAAGGTTCCTCAAAAAGTTAAAAATAGAACACCCTATAACCCAGCAATTGTGCTACTAGGTATTCATCAAAAGGATACAAAAATGTTGATTTGAAGGGGCAGGTGCACCTCAGTGTTTATAGCAGCACTATCAACAATAGCCAAATTATGGAAAGACCCCAAATATCTGTGACTCATGAATGGATAACGAAGATGTGGCATATATATACAATGGAATAGTACTCAGCCGTCAAAAAGAATGAAATCTTGCCATTTGCTACAATATGGATGGAACTAGAGTGTATTATGTGACGTGAAATAAGTCAGAGAAAGACAAATACTTATGATTTCACTCATATGTGGAATTTAAGCAACAAGACAGATGAGGGGCGCCTGATTGGCTTAGTCGATTAAGCATCCAACTCTTGATTTTGCCTCAGGTCATGATCTCACAGTTCATGAGATCGAACTCCACATCGTGCTCCCTGCTGACAGCACAAAGTCTGCTTGGGATTTTCTCTCTTCCTCTGTCTCTGCTTCTCCCTGCCCTCTCTCTCTAAAATAAATAAATAAACTTACAAAAACAAAACAAAAAAGATGAATATTGGGGAAGGGAAAATAAAATAAGATAAAAACAGAGAGGTAGGTAAACCATAAGAGACTCTTTAACTGTAGAGAACAAACTGAGGGTTGCTGGAGGGGAGGTGGGTGGGTGGGAATGGGCTAAATGGGTGTAATGGGCATTAAGGAGGGTACTTGTGATGAGCCTGAGTATTATATGTAAGTGATGAATCACTAAATTCTACTCCTGAAACCAATACTACACTATATGTTAACTAACTTGAATTTAGATAAAAACTTAGAAAAAAAAATAATAATTAAATAAATACTTGTAATATACAAAAAACATTTTCATAATTTTAGCTCACTAATTGTATCATTGATACGTAACACTCATTTATAAATAACTAAATACTACATACTAATAAATATCTTCCAATTAAAAAAAAAGGCATAGGTCTGCATATGCTTGAATAGGTATAGAAAGATGTCTTGAGGCATACAAATGAAGTGAACAGGGGTTGACTTTAGTGTGTTGAGGCTAAGGGGAGTCTTCATTTTCTGCTATACACATTTCAAACTATTTGAAATTTTTACAACTATCATACATTGCTTTTGTTATGTGCTTTTATTCTTGGTTTTGAAAATACAATTTTATGCATTAAAAGACTCAGAAAGTACCAAATGTCTTACCTACTATATACCTTAAAAACACAGTATTAAAAATTTTCTTTTCTCTTTGTCTTATTTCAATAGAAATACTAATTTCTGCCCTGAAAATGTAACATTATCAGTGCAATTTTTATTTTATTTTATTGTTTAAAAAAATTTTTTTTAATGTTTGTTTATTTTTGAAGGAGAGACAGATAGATCATGAGTGGGGGAGGGTCAGAGAGTGAGAAAGACACAGAATCCAAAGCAGGCTCCATACTGCAAACTGTCAAGCAAGCTTTGAGATTATGACCTGAGACGAAGTCAGACGCATAACTGACTGAGCCACCCAGGCACCCTATCAGTGTAATTTTTAAAGAGGAAAGTAGTATTTTCATTTTGTGACCATTTAAATAACTTCTACTAAAAAGAAGGGTTACAAGTAAACCCCGAAAATAACCTAACTGTACTATATTTGGAAAATGAATAAATGATGGTACATAAATAAAATGGAATACAATGTATTCCATGGAATAAATGTATTCCATGTATTTAAAAATAAAAAAATTAAAAAAAATTAAAAAAATAAAATTAAATGTCATGGGAGAATATTTACAATATATTGTTATATTTTTTTAAAAGCAGACTATAAAATAGTAACAATGATATAATCCTGTTTTTGTGTTAAACACCCACAGACATAGATAAAAGACTGGAAGTATAATTTCACCAAAATTAATTGTCTCTGATAGTTTTCTCCATTTGGACTCTATATTTTTTCTAATTTTTATATAATGAATATGAAAATTCTTATAATAAAAATGAATTTTAAATTATACATAGCTGCTATACATGTTTAAGACTGCTGTGTTTTCATCTCTTAGTAATTGTCTCTAGGACTGGATGAAATTAAGCCTAGATCCACATTTGTCTATCAATTTTGGTTTCCTAACTTTTGCCTAGTTTAAGGATGAGTTTCAGAAATTTATGCTTCAGATATTTTTTCTTCTGAAAATGATTTTGAGCTCACAACCTTGAATTCAAAACATTTTTGAGCTCTAGAGTACTCGTTGTTAAATTTCAACATACTAAGTCCTAGAAGTACTTTATAAAAGTTGGTGGTTTTTTTTTTTTAATTTAAGGCACTGAATATGACAAAAACCCACCAACTCAGCTTGTGTAAAAACAGAGAATGGTAGCAAAAAATGTACCTACAAGTATATTTCATGTGATTGCAGTATCAGGATAACTTGCTCACCTGAGGTTTTGGTCCCAGAACTTTTGAATACAACGTATAGGACGTAACATTGCAGGATGGATAGCCTACTCCAATTAGCATAGCTGCTGTGAGGAACTGAGCCAGATGGATCATGGGAGTGTAGAAGCACCAGGCTTGTTCAATTGGGCAACCAGTGGGTCCTTCGTTGCGATCTTCTCTTGGAGACTTCCAAAGAGTAATAATAATTTCCCCAAATGTGGTATTAGGGATTGAATTATTATGTAACTCTGTAAAAACAAAATTAGTACAGTGTATTACTTACTAATTTTAAATTAATAACAGGGGCTAACATTATAGAAATAAGTATAGCTATACCTTCCCACTGTATTTTGGGAAACTGATTTCCCCAAGGTAACAAGATAAAGAAGCCAACCCATACAACGATGAGTCCTCCCAGTAGAATAGCACGCTCACCAATCCTGTTAAAGAACAGAAACTCTGTAATTTAAAAACAAAACATTATTACATAGTTTCATTACTTTTATATTTTATAAACTATGCTATAATATCTTGATGCTTTTAGTCATATACCAACTAATATGAATGCTAAATATAATTTTCCACTAAAAGGAACCAGTTGATTTTAGATCTTGGACAGAAAACGTATAAGATGAGCCTGGATAGTTTTTTCATACCAAAGAACACAGAAGCTATCAGTGGCTACTAGGTACTCTTGGTACTTGGATAAAGGTACTCTGAGCCAATTTGAAGACACTGGCCAAAACACAACAGTGCGAACAACAGAACAAATAGTAATGACAATGGATTAAAACACATGTTATAATGTATGAATTCATATTATATTAAAATAAAATGCTCTTGGTTACATTTAGAGTATGTTTTAAATAAACTCATTATTTTAAAACTCAGTTAATAAAAGGAAACAATCATCTTGTGTTTCCTGTACAAACTGTACAAGGTAACCAAATAATTGGTGATAAGAAGGTTCTCTTCATAGGAAGTATTCCAAAAAATTATATAAAGACATGATAGAATTAAAATATCAACATTTTTCAATTATCTATTAATATATTAATAAACCTAGAAATGACCAATGGTCACTAACTATAAAAAGAGATAAACAAAATATATTTCTCCTGATATAAGCACATATTACCACCTACAAAGTATATTCTTGACAAAAAATTGAACTCAAATTTCATCAAGGTTCTAGATACAAGTATCAATTTTTCAGAAATACAGAAACACAGGAAAATGTTAACAACAATGACAACACCACCACCACCATAGGAATTCAATCTGTGAGCTCTAAAATGTGAGAAACTATAAAGCATACATCCTGGTTTCTTGAAAACCTATAGATTAAAAGAGACTTAAGAAAATTAAGAGCCTTGGAGAGCCTGGGTGGCTCAGTCGGTTAAGCACTTGGCTCAGGTCATGATCCCATGGTTTGTGGGTTTGAGCCCTGTGTTGGGCTCTGTGCTGACAGAGCCTGGAGCCTGCTTCAGATTGTGCCTCCCTCTCTCTCTGTCCTTCCCCTGCTCATGCTCTGTGTCTCTCTCTCAAAAATAAAAAGAAACATTAAAAAAAAAAAAAACAAAAAACAAAAAACTTAAGAGCCTGAGTCAAGTAAGCTGTGAAACAAAATAAAACAATATGAAACAAAACAAAGTAAATTTAAAAAAACATTTAAACCAGTGGAGAAAACTTGAATACTGCCTGGATATTTGATGATATTTAGAAATCACTGTTAACATTTTTAGATGTGATAATGTTGTCATCATGAACTTTTAGAGATACATACTGAAATATTTATGGAAGATATGAAATGATATCTGGGACAGGCTTCAAAATAATCTAGGTATAGGGGATAGGGAGTGTGGAGCGGGTAGAACTATATAAATGAATCACAATTATTCAAGGATTGGTAATCATTGAAGCTGGGTAATGGATATTAGAAATTCAGTACATGATGCTATCTACACCTTTGTATATGTTAGAAATTTTCCATAATAAAAAATGAAATTTACAAACAAGACCAACGACTTCCTAAAACAAAATAAACAAACCCAAACACCTCACATCACCTTCAGAATACCTAGGATTCACATCTTTCCAACCTGATCTTTTCCCATTGCCATTTCTTTCCTGCTCTGGCCAAACTTGCCTTCCTGCTTTTTCCTTAAACACACAAAGCTCAGTCTTCTGGAAGAAGAGAGTTCCAGACCCCCTGCATGACTGTTTTCTGACTTTGTTGAGGTCTCTGATTGGATGTAACTTCTTCAAACATGCCTTCCTAGAGCAGTCAGTCGAAATAACACTGCCACTCTCTCTCCCAACCCTGCTCTTGCTACTCTTTATTCTCTTCCTCTGCTCCATTCTTCTTCACAGTATTTACCATTACCTGACTTCATATTTTTGTTTATTGGTTTTCCCACCCAATAGAACACAAGCTCTCTGAAGGTATGGAATTGGACAATCTGTAAGAATACCTATTTCTATAGCAAGATGTAATGCATTTACTGTTATTTAATTTTGAATATAAATCTATGTCTATGTCTATATCTGTATCTTGAACCTGCTTCTTGGCTTTATACACACAGAAATCTTCATAGTACCCCCCCCCCCCATGCACCCAAACTGACACACTGAATCAAGATGTGTTGATTTTAGAACGTTATAAAATTCTAAAGTATCATTAAAATATTTTAAGAATAATTAAATTGTTAGGATTGCTTAAAGTCATCAACGAATGTCTCATCTCGGACAACATGAATGAATTTAATTTTATACAAGCACTTCCCCCAAAGCGTGTTTTTTACGGTTGTAGCTTTACAAAATGCTTCTTTAAAATAATGGTCTATAGTCAAAGCTACAAACAACTTTGTACAGTAACTATATTATGCTACATAATATATTTGTCATTATGATAATATATATAAGTACTGAAGATTTGGAAGTTTTGGATAAAGAAGTTTGGCAATTTTAACCACAATTTTCCAGACTTAACCACTAAATCCTTTCTGTTTCATAATATACATATACACACATATAATATATATAAATATATACATATACATATATACACATACATATATATACAGCAGAACAAAGTTTTATAAAATACACTTTTAGAAATACTTTAAATAAAACATAATATACAAAAGATACATTAGAAGACAATTAATTCACTTGGTAAAATATCTTGCTTTACCAAAGAATATACCATATGGTATAGAAATATGTGCTCCCTTAATAAACTTTAAATCTGTTCACAAACACTCAAGTACTAAAACTAATATATAATGAGAGAAAAGCTTTATTATTTTATTTTACTAACATATTTGTTTATATTATTAGCTTTCAATGGAGAGATAACATTTGTTTACATTGTTAGCTTCTCAATGGGAGATCAGGTTGGAAAGGTGTGAAGGCTTGTAGGTATTCTGAAGGTGATGTGAGGTGTTGGATTCATTCCATGTTTCCCTTTTTTAAAAAAGACTTTTTTAAAAGCGTATTTTAAAATTGAGTGAAACAAAACCAAAGACACATAACTTACTTCTTGGAAAGTAATTTAACCCCCATGAAAATAAGAATTGCCTCAACTCCAAGAGCAGCAAGTATTATTCCACCATATAATACAGCTTGTTCTCGAGTCCAGGCATACATATCCATTGTTAATGGAGTAACGATGCTAAGAAAAACAAATTATTGTTATTTATTTAAATCATAGTCATTATAAAAGTGAAATAGAAGCTTTAATAATGATACTGACACATTCAAGAATTTGCATCTCTTTTAGCAAAGATACCAGCTCTCTATATAAAAATTTTTTTTAACACATTTAGTTGTTACATGCACAAACTACTAAGTTTGATTGTATTTTTATTTACTAATATTTATTTTAATTATATAAGTAACATATCCATGTTGCAGAAAGTCTAAAAGACGGGAAAAGAAATAAACCAACCATAATTCCTACCCTTCTAACTAACTAATCATGGTTAAATTTGGTTTAAAGTGGTTTCTTTTTTATTTCATTGAAATAAGTAATAATATAATAATAGTAATGTTACTATTATTAGGTTATTAGAAACTTGTTGGGACTTTTTCTCTTCCTTAGTCTCTTTTATCACTATCTTTGAATGTATATATCTCTCTTCCTACCTCTGAATGTTGCTCTTCCTTTATTTGACTATCTGTCTCCTTCCTTGCCAAGCTTTGTTTCCTATTTTGTATCTCCTCTGTTAACTGGATGCAAAATGGAATTGAAATATATTTAAAATATTCATTCTTTAAAAACAAAACAACACCACCATTTTAAATTTTAAAATCAGAACAGCTGATGTGGAAAATGGTTTGGTGAATTCTAAATATCTTAAACATAGAATTACTATATCATCCAGCAAATCCACTTCTGGGTGTACAACCAAAAGAACTGAAAGCAGAGACTTAAACAGATACTTGTACACCAACATTCATCACAGCATCATAGCATTATTCACAATAGCCCACAGGTGGAAATAACCCAAATGTCCATCAATAGATGAATGAATAAATGAAATTGGTATATATAGACTATGGAATATTTTTTAGCCATTAAAAGGTATGAAATTCAGATACATGCTATAACAGGAATGAACATTTAAAAACATCATGCTGAGTGAAATAAGCGAGGCACAAAGGACAAAAGGAAATGTGTTGTATGATTCCATTTATATAGGTACCTAGATTGAAAAAAGTAGAATAAAGGCTCCCAGGAGCTGGGTGAGGGGGAATGAGGACTTACTGTTTAATGGGGATAGAGCTTCTGTTTGGAATCATGAAAAGATTCTGGAAATGGATAGGGGTTATGGTTGTACAACATTTGTGAATACACTCAATGCCACTGAGTTGTATGATTAAAAATAGTTAAAATGATGTATTTTATGTTATGTGCATTTTACCACAATTTTTAAAAATGCCCCCAAAATCAAGTGAACTGAAACTTTCACATATCTCAAAAATTTTAAAAATAAAAATAAACTAAAAAAAAATCAAGCAAATCTATATGTATTGGCATAAAAATGTTACAACGCATTGACAAAAGAATAAACCAAATTTTCAAATGATAATGTCACATAGTCTATGTTGATTTAATAGACACACACACATAATAGCACATATGAGTACTTACACATGTAAGTACAACTAGTACTTACAGTTGTATAGAAAAAATATTTGAAAAATTACACAATGATGTATTAGCAGTGGTTACTTCCAGGGAAAGAAATGTATATGGAAATACAGTTGCAGTGTTTAGCATATTTACACCAAGAATATATTATTTTTATAACATAATGGAAAGGCATTTTAAAAATAAAAAAGCCATATGATAACTAAAGATCAACAAAGCTTACACAAGGCAGAGATTTTGTAATATATCATACTAGTTTTTTTTTCAGGATCAGGATCAGATGTTAAATAGAGTTAACACTGCCAGGCTGAACTCCATATACATAGAGAGTTATATAGCTTAAAGTTAATTTACTCATGGCACTAAAGTTTTATAACTATATTTATCATAAAATTCCAAGAAAGGGAGGAAAGATAAAGTAATATTATAGACAGGGAATTAACTATATTCAGGTTAAAAGCATAAAATTTATGTGTACTTTTTACATCATGACAAAACGTATGCCTTCCATAAAGTTTCTGAGAATATCGATAAGCCTATTAATATTGCATTAATACAGATGATTTACATAATATGATATAAATGAAGACAGAATAAAACTTACGTTTCAAAAAGGGCAAAGATAAATAGAACCACAAAAAACAGAACATTGGTGGCCAAAACAGCAACTTGATCAATATTTCCTTGGGGAAACTGAACTTCATCTGTACTTGCTATAATAAACAGGAGAAAAATTGTATTACTTAAACATCTAATTTTTCTTATGACACTAAAATAACTTAGAAACTATATGTAGCAAATTCTGTGACTAAATATTTAAAATCACTTTTAGGCTTCTAAGTGGTTTAAAAGTAACAATTTATACCATAGAAGTAATTTTTAAATGGCTTAAAAAAATTTTTTTTAATCTTTATTTATTTTTGAGAGAGACAGAGCACGAGAAGGGGAGGGGCAGAGAGAGAGGGAGACACAGAATCTGAAGCAGGGTCCAGGCTCTGAGCTGTCAACACAGAACAGACACAGGGCTGAACCCACGGACCGCAAGATCATGACCTGAGCCGAAGTCAGACGCTTAATCGACTGAGCCACCGCGGCGTGCCAAAATGGCTTTTAAAAATAACGTGAATTTTCTTCCCAGGAGATATACTTCAATTCTGTTATCTATAGGAAATACTCAGATTTTCTATTTGCTGTCTCTTGATCCAAAATATTAATATATTTTATAAAATTCTATAAAATGAGCTCATTCTAAATATATTTGCTTTAAATTTCTACTGCAAGTTTTTTTTTTCTATTTTACCTAAATCTTAAATTTATGAGGATTTTTTCATAGTTTATTAAATCAGCTAGTTCTGTGATTCACTTCAGTGGATATGTATTTTGAATTTCAATGTTATGTGAAATTAGTATGAGTAAATATCCTTATATGTTATTACCACAGTTTTTAAAAAATCCTTATATTATCATTTATATTTTTGCAAGCAAATATATTTTGTAAATTACCACCAAGATTTGATGGTGCTTTTATAAATTAGGAGGAAGTGAGCGTATTGACTTATCTTAAACTATGTATTAAGCTACATACTCAATATTAGTTATTCCTTATATAACTGAGAAGTGTGAAGCGAAATACACCTACTTATATACATTTGTAATGCTATTTTACAATTTACCTACTTATTCAGAGTAAACCAAACAAGTAATTCAATAATGTTTTCATTTTATGCTATCTTTAAGTATGTATGTAACACCAGCAGGGGGCACGGGGCTACTTTCCCAAGATACAGTAAGTTTCTATAATTTTTCTCATAATAGCGTTTCCCTTTATATCTCAGGATTCCTGACAAGGAGTTCCTCCTCCAATAATAAATGAGACTTGGAAATAGTCTGCTATATCTGGGGACAATTAAGCACCCTGAACACTCAACAAAGAGTTATGACTTCTCTTTCTAATGGCACAAAGAAAAATGGTCACCTTTGTCCAGATCCTTTTCCGGGATAGACTCTGGTCCTTGTGGACTTTATATTACTCGGGACAGACCTGCCTGATTCTCTGTTACCACCTTGAACCCAGTCTTTACTCCTTTGAATTAAAAAGCAACATTGCCCCAAGTTAGACTGGAGTTTGCATCATATATGGTTAGTTTCCTGCAGCCTCTACCCAGTGATGGCTTCAGTGGGAAAGCTCAGAAATGTTGCGTCCTAGATTGTGAGGATTGACTGGGTATCAAAATTATAAGAATTTTAGGAAAAGACTACACTAATATATTGATTCAAAAACTATGTAATTAGCAATTATGATCCTATCCAATGATAACATTTTTAATAATGGGGAAAAAGCAGAAATATTTAAATATTTACTGAAAAATTTTTTTAAATTTTTTTAACATTTATTTATTTTTGAGAAAAGAGAAACAGGGCATGAGAGGGGGAGGAGACAGAAAGAGGGAGACACAGAATCTGAAACAGGATCCAGGCTCTGAGCTGTCAGCCCCCAACGCAGGGCCTGAACTTACGGACCGTGAGATCATGACCTGAGCCGAAGTCAGACACTTAACCGACTGAGCCACCCAGGTGCCCCAATATTTACTGAAATTTAAAAATGATTTCTGTTTTAGAAATTATTTTGAAGTACCTAGAAATATTATGAAAGAAAATAGATCTGGTCTTTCTAAACTCTCATTTGTGCTTTAGGGCAGTGTTGTGCAATAGAACTCTGACATGATGGAAATGTTCTTTCTCTGTGCTGTCCAAACAGCCACTAGCCACAGACCCGTAATTAAACACTTACAGTGTTACTGTGTGACTGAGGAATTTCTTCATTTTTTTTTTTAATTTTTTTTAACGTTTATTTATTTTTGGGACAGAGAGAGACAGAGCATGAACGGGGGAGGAGCAGAGAGAGAGGGAGACACAGAATCGGAAACAGGCTCCAGGCTCTGAGCCATCAGCCCAGAGTCTGATGCGGGGCTCGAACTCACGGACCGCGAGATCGTGACCTGGCTGAAGTCGGACGCTTAACTGACTGCGCCACCCAGGCGCCCCTGAGGAATTTCTTCAATGTAATATAGGTTAATTTAAATTTAAATAGCCAAATATGGCTGGCAGCCACCATATTAGACAGTATAGTTCCAAATCTTTGCTATGGTCCTTAGACCAGTAGCATCAGCTCCCATGATAGCTTACTATAAATGTAGATTCTCAGAATCTCACTGGGTTTGCCAGATTTAGTAAATAAAAATACAGGATACTCAGTTAAGTTTGAATTTGTGATAAACAATAATTTTAAGTATTTTCCATGCAAAATTTGAAATTTAAATATAAGAATGTCCCATGAAATATTTGAGGCATATCTATACTAAAAGATTATTTGTTCCTTATCTGAAATCCAAAATTACCCAGCCGGGACATACTTATACTAAAAAAGTATTCAAATTCTCCTGGGCATCCTGTATTTAATCTGACAACCCACTTAGACCCCTCCCCCACCAAGGCCTACTGAATCAGAACCCATTTTAACAAGGTTTCCAGGTGTTTTTGAAGCACATTAAACTCCATGAAGTCCTAATCGATATTGCTACCCCCTTCCAACTTCTGAAAGATTTTGCTTCTTACGTATCTTTCTCAGCACCTCAAACTCATCCTCCTTAACTTGCTCATTCCTTTTACCTGATAGGTCTTTTAAGTTAGTACCCTATTTTTCACCTTAAAAAAAAAAAAGCGGCTTATACCCCCTGCGGGCACTTCCTCACCATTCTTTCTTTTCTTTCATTTTTTATTTTGAAAAATATGAAATATATATTCAGCCCCTATATTCAACAATATTTTGTCACACTTGATGCATGTACCCCTCCCTTTCCTTTTTTCTTTCACTCTCTCTTTGTTGCTGTTGTGTTTTTCAGTGGCTTACTCAGAAATTTGTATCTCAAGCTTTGATCTCTAAAGCCAAAATTACAAATGCCTCTGGCATTTTCTCGCTGTTCTAGTGTAGCAGTATATTTAGCTTGATTCAAACTGAAATCATTTTCTCTGTTCAGCGAATGTCCTTTCCTAAATTCTTGTTCTCTCCCATTCTTTCACTTATCTAGACTCAAAACCTGACAGACATCTTCAACAACTCCCTCTATTCCTTAATAATTCCTATCCAATCTATCAAGAATCTTAATTTTTTTTTCTTCAAAAACTCACATCTGTCTCTTTTCCATTCTTAGTTGCTGCCCTAGTTCAGGCCTTCACACATCTGGACTAGTCTCACCTGAAATCTGACTACTGTCATACTTCTCCTTTTTCTCAAAAAGTTACTAACATTCTTCACCAGTCTGCTCTCTACCCTACTTTCAACTTTCCTTCCACTAGTTTTGTTGTGAAAATTAAATAAAATGGCTATAGAAGATACTATGTCTTTTCCACAACTTTTCTAATATTTAAAACTCCCAGGAACAAACTCCTTAAAGGCAAGAACTGAGTTGCAATCTTTTGTACAGAGGGGGACACTCCCCATGGAGAATATAATTAGTACTTAAATAAGGGTTTACTTAGGAAGACATATCTACTGACCAGATTGGTTACTTACTTCTAAGTCAAAGAAAGATCTAAGGGATGAAAATGTACATTTGCAGCGTGTACCAAAAGAATAAAAATACAAAAGAGAAACCTATTTCCATGATTAAGGGAGCAAAGAAATGCTTGAAACAGAAAGATACATTTTATAGGAACGTTACAGAAATCATTCTAAAGAACTGTAGGGTTTTAGGATACTGGCTCTTTGTAAAGAAGATGAAGTGATTTTTAGCAATGCTTTTAATCTTGCCAGCCATGAACACCAAATAACTGATCTGGGAAGGCCTTTTAAAAAAAATTATTAATTTAGGTAACTTTTAACTTTGAAGATCCTACCCCAATCACCCATTGTACTGTTTTCAGAAGCAAATCCAAGTAAATACCAAACAGACAGAATAATCGGAAACACTTTGATAATGTTATAGTAATTTAGTCAAAAGGGTCATAGTACCTTCTTCAAAATTAACATTTTTACACTGTCGTCCTGAGTCATCCACACGATGTTCTCTTAAAAAGAAAAACATAAATATTGCATCTATGAAAGACTTACTATGATAGATAAATGGCTTTAATTTATTAGTAGCCTTCTTTATTTTTTCACATTCTGATATAGTTTCTTTTACTAACTGCTAAGTAATGAAATTATTACCAATGAGGTATAACCAACAAAATTTAAAAGATACAAGTTATAATTCTTATTATCTTATCATATAAAATGAAGCATAATATTCAATCCAATATTCATCCAAAAGCATACATGAACTACCTTAATAAATATTTAAAGTTTTCCGGTGATTTTAAACATTTGTTATAAACATTTTTGGGGCCTTCAATAAAGCACTCCAAAGAAATACAAAGTAATAAAACTTCTGTAGTTTTATAACATTTCTTCTAGTAAATAAAAGATATAAGTAACTTTTGTATTTAAGGTTGATACCAATCATTAATCTACTTAAAACTGTGCTTTCATGCCATTCCCGTACTTAGAAACCTACAGTTAGTAAATCAAGACCAAACTTTGAATCTTCAAAGACTTTATAATCTAGTCTCATTTATCAGATTGCCTATTATTTCAGTTACAAGTACTAGATGCATTAGCTGATCAAAAAACATGAACACAACTATAGACATCAAAAACCAAATAAAGACTTCATAGGAATAATTATCTTCCAATAATGATCATGCTTATTTAATTTCACAATCTACACAAGTAGTTTTATAATTTCTATCTGATTTACCTTAATAGAGTAAGGATCAGAATAATATTTAAAACTCCCAGGAATGCGCCAAGTAAAACTGGTGCTGTGTACATATTTATCTGCAGCTTAATGGCATCCCATGTCACACCCTTTTCTCCGATGAGTGCAAAACAAGTCTGAAAAACTTAATAAAATATAAAATAAAATGTATACAGATAAATTATTATGTGGGAGGCAAGGGCTAAAAAATGTGAAAGACATTTACTACAAAATTGGAAGCAACTTTGTGGAATCTCACATCTACATCACACATCTCAATAGAGGCAAGGGAACAAAATATTTACTCTTTTTCTGTATAAAGCATAGATATTCACATAGTCCATAAAAGATATACAATTGATCTGTGGAATTAGGAAAAAAATGTCTAAAAAAGCTCCTTAATGGGACATTAATGAGAAAAAGATTCAGAAACACTGATATACATTCACAAAGAATTATATCTAAAGCAATTTGTCAGTATCTTCCTATTTAAAAAAATCTCCACAGAAAATTTAAATCATCCAATTTCTTCCATATAAAATTACAATTTAATTATAAGGAGTAGAATGTCACATTTTAAGTTAATATTTCAAATCATCATTGTGTATATGGTATTTAAATCATGTATATTTTTAAATTTGGATCTGTGGCAAAAATCAGCTTGGAAGAGAACTGGTTTGCTTTCCTGATTTAGATTCTATATCTGGCTCTTCCAATAATTTGCAACCTTAAGGTAAGGATGAAGTAAGACATTACACGTAAAACACTTAGAACAGCATCTAACAATAGTAGACATTCAATAAATGCTAGTGCTGTTAATGTGGTCATTACAGGAAAGCGCATCTAATCTTTTTCAGGCCTACATTTACTCATCTAAAGATAATACAAAATATTTAAATGATATAATCTTTCTTTTTGATTATTTCTTTTATTCTCAGGTTGAAAATGTGGCAAATCAATGAACAAGGTGATATAAATTTTAGTGCTGGTCTTTTTTTCCCCAATTCCCTGTCTGCCTTTGAAATAGCTAATACTGTCTCTGAACCTCCATTTTCTTGGCTCTGAAATAAAGGGGGTTAAGCTAAATAATTTCTTAAGCCATTCCTGGTTCTAAAATGCTATGAGATCTATTATATGCCTCTACCGCTTTTATTTTATCATTATTTAATCTCCAAAATACTTCTTATTTATTTACTGAGAACATATACCAGGTGTATACCAGGTTCTGTGCTAGATACTGAGGTTAGAGTGGTAAATGAAAAGACCCAGGCTATATCCTCATACATTTTATGATATGGCAGTAGATCCAATGATTCTACATTTGTTATGTATATTTTACTCCAAATACTAAACTGAAACATTAGATTTTTCGTGAAAGATAAATTGGATTCTCTTTTGTAGAGCTTTTTTCTTGGCTCTCTAAAAGAAAGTAATGGAGTGGCACCTGGGTGGCTCAGTTGGTTGGGCATCCGATGTCAACTCAGGTCATGATCCTGTGGATCATGGATTCAAGCCACGAGTCGGGCTCTGTGCTGACAGCTCAGAGCCTGGAGCCTGCTTTGGATTCTGTGTGTCCCTCTCTCTTTGCCTCTCCCCTGTCTGTGCTATCTCTGTCTCTCTGTCTCTCTCTCTCAAGAAAAAACATTAAAAAAATTTTTAAAGAAAGTAATGGAAAGAGGGGTGAGGGTAGGATATTAATGATAAAGTAAATGGAACTGGATTCAAAGTGATGGTATTCATAACTGTAATATTCAAAGCATGAACAAATTATATGATTTTTCAATGTTTTTCTTTTTTTCTTCTTTAAAAAATTTTAAGGTTTTTAAAAATTTATATTTGAGAGAGACAGAGAGAAGGGGTGGGGAGAGAGGCAGAGAAAGAGGGATAGAGAGAAAATCCCAAGCAGGCTCTGCAACTCACAAACTGTGAGATCATGACATGAGCTGAAACCAAGAGTCGGATGCTTAACCATCTGAGCCACGCAGGTGTCCCTTCAATGATTTTCTAAGCATAAAAATTACTAATTTATCTAATAGCAAAAACTTACTTGTCTTGGGGAAGTATTAAGTCTTATTAATATTGTTTTACACTCAGCTAAAGGATGGAGGCTTTGAAGAACAGTCTTTCAGTAGTCTTTCAAAAATTCTCTCATTTTCTTCAAACTCAGAAAAGTCTGAAAGGTATGGGCAAAGAGCACAAGAGTAAAGAATCTCCTATAACTTTCCTCAAATCCTTCAGTCAGAAGAATTTTGTTTCTGGGCTATCTGGGTGGCTCAGTTGGTTAAGTGTCCAACTTTTCAATTTTTTTTAAGTTTATTTACTTATTTTGTGTGTGAGAGAGAGAAAGCACAAGCAGGAGAGAGGCAGAGAGAGCAAGAGAGAGAGCATCCCAAGCAGACTCTGCACTGTCAGCACAGAGCCTGCTTTGGGGCTCTAAGTTACCAACCGTGAGATCATGACCCCAGTCAAAATCAAGAGTCGTATGCTTAACGGACTGAGCAACCCAGGCCCCCCCTTGCATCCAACTGTTGATTTCAGCTCAGCTCATGATCTCACAGCTATGGGATCGAGCCCCACATTGGTCTCTGCACTGAGTGTGGAGACTGCTTGGGATTCTCTTTCCATCTCTCTCTTCCCCTCCCCCACTTGCGCACATGTACAGGTGTACTTGCTCTCCAAAAGCAAAAAAGAAAAAATTAAAGAATTTTGTTTCTAATAGACAAGAAAAAAAGCTAACTATAATGGAGATGTCAAGCTAAATGATTATTTCACAGAACATACAGATAGAGTTAGGTTCGAATCTCATATTTCCCATTTGCTATCTGGCTGACCTTGAATAACTTACTTAGACTCTCTATGCCTTGATGTCCTAATCTGTAAAATGGGACTAATATTATTTACTTTAGAGAACATTTGTTAACACATATAAAGAGCCTAGACTCCTGCTGGACCAAAAATATTAGCTTCCCTACTTTTCCTTTTAGCTATGAGGTTTTATACTTGGATTCCACTTAACATTTGAACTTTAAAAGTTCTCCCAATTCATATTCAAGCAATGACAAGTGAAAAATACCTACCTGGACCTAGAATAAAGCCTAATGCTTGACATGCACTTGTGTTTGCCATGGAACTTATTCTTTCCTGAAGGGAAGTAGCACCAGCAATGTATGATCTAACAACTGCTACATTTCCTAAGAAAAGACACAATAATCCAAAGTCAAAGAAAATATTCTTTGGTTTATAAAATCCCACTTAATTTGGCTTTATATAAAACAAAAATGTTAATCTACATTATAGTCACTGCTTCTTCCCTATGATTATACAAAGCATATACATCGAGCAAATGTATCAATTAGTGGAAAATCTTGCTTTTAGCAACATGAAAACACAATTAAAGATGTGAATAAATGAAAAAGTGACATTACAGAAATGTTAAACTTTTTTTCTTATTAAATATGAAGAAAACACTGACTAAATGGCAAACTACTGATCGTTACAACTATTTTTAAAACAAAGACATCACAAATTCTGCATGCTTAAATGTAATATAAGAAACAAAAAGATCCACTAACAATTTGACTCAAAAAAATTTATTGAGCTCTTATTATTTTCAGGAGACTCTGCAAGAAAGGCCACAGAGTATTTTAGAAAGTCATAAATTGTCTCTAATTATAAAAAGTTTACTATCTGGTTGGTGATAAAAGATGAAAACAGAGCAAAACAGTATCTAAGCAAGTTCCACAGACATACTGGAGATGGGAAAGATCTGTTAAGGGGTAGGGTAACCTAAGAAAATTTTATGGAAGATGTGGAACTTGAACAGAATCTTGAAGAATGAAGAATGATGGGAACAGAATAGAGAAACTATAGGTAACAGGAATATCATGAACAAAGGCAAAAATCATAGGAAAGATATTTGTCTATTTGCAATGAGAAATCTATATGTTGAGTAGTGAGATATGAGATTGAGACGAGGTGATACCAGATGAGAGAGGGTGAATTCAGGGTGAATGTGAATCTGAACAGCCAAACACATACATACATACATACATATTACCTGCTCCAAATCCCACCAATCCACGAGCAACCAACATGTAGTATTTATTATGAGAAGCTGGAACGTGGACATATGCATAGAGGCAGTTAGCCATGACCGAAATGAAGATGGAGACAATAAGAGGTTCTTTTCTTGGTCTATAATTAGACCACAAACCAAATACAGGTGAAGCTACCATTTGGCCAAGACTAAATGAAGCAATAACCCAGCCCAAAAAACTTGCATCAGCTGTCTGATCAATCTGCAGAAAAAAGTACAATGCTTTAAGAATTGTTATCCAAGAAAAGTAAAGTTTAAGACTTAAACACATTTTTCTGACCACGTAACATTTCCTATTTAAGTAAATAAAAACAATAATTCTAACATATCAGTTTTTTAACACTATTACTTATAGTAAGGTATTCAAAACTTCTTACAGTATAATTAAATATGCTACCAATTCACTATACACTAGAAACAATACTTGGGAAGCTTCAACTTTTAGAATGATTATGGGAATATGATTTATGATTTGGTTCATAAAAATCTTGTTACAAATAATCACATTATATGTATAAATAATAACATCACAAAAGTAAAATGCCATTCTTTAATTCTTATAAAGTAAATACAATTATTTAGACTTATGTTACTCCATAAGCTAAATAGCCATTAGCACTATAAATCCTTTTTTTTTTTAACATTTATTTATTATTATTGAGAGACAGACACAAAGCGTGAGCAGGGGAGGGGCAGACAGAGGAGGAGACACAGAACCTGAAGCAGGCTGCAGTCTCTGAGTGTCAGCACAGAGCCCAAAGTGGGCTCGAACTCACAAACCAGGAGATCATGACCTGGGCTGAAGTTGGAGGCTTAACTGACTGAGCCACCCAGGAGCCTCATTTTTATTTTTTTTAACTGAGCACAATAGTCAAATGTTTAAGAGAATAAAAACACAAAAGCTGAAAGATAATTCTCCCATTAAACCTATTATTAATTCTTCCTTTCAACATGGAGGATTCAGGGTTCTACCACTGAACGACGGTTTATGTGTCATGATAGATGTTGAGGAGAGAACCAAATGATTAAATTCAGAAAATAAAATTCTTTCAAAAAACAGAAAATTTCAGCTTACAAAAGGGACTATGGAATAAATTAACAGATTAAAAAAAATATATATATGGTAGGTTATATAGTAATTTGGAAACATAAGAACCATTAAATTTTTAGAAATAAGGGGTGCCTCGGTGGCTCAGTCGGTTAAACTTCCGACTTCAGCTCAGGTCATGATCTCACAATCTGTGAGCTCGAGCCCCACGTCAGGCTCTGTGCTGACAGCCCAGAGCCTGGAGCCTACTTCGGATTCTGTGTCTCCCTCTCTCTTTGCTCCCCCCCGCCTCCTTGTGCTCGCTCTCTCAAAAATAAATATTTAAAAAAATGTAAATAAATTTTTAGGAAATAAGATTAAACATATATAAAGTGTTAGAACAACTTAAAGACAACCATGGCCTTTTCTAAAGATATTTTTAAATAGTTTAAAATGAAAATGTTTAGGTATATTTTCTTGTGGGGGATGAGAAATAAAAGTGAATACATATAATGATATACAATATTAAAGTTCTAGCCTTAAAAATATCTCTTATTTGGGGCACCTGGGTGGCTCACTCAGACAGCTGAGTGTCCGACTTTGGCTCAGGTCATGATCTCCCGGTTTGTGAGTTCAAGCCCCACATTGGGCTCTGTGCTGACAGCTCAGAGCCTAGAGTCTGCTTTGGATTCTGTGTCCCTCTCTCGCTGTGCCCCTCCTTCACTCATGCTCTGTCTCTCTTTCTCTCAAGAATAAATAAAACATTAAAAAAAATTTTTTTTAATCTCTTATTTTAGGCACACTGGTTTTCATTTTCTACCCATATTACCTTTGGCTCCTTTGATCACTCTATTAAAAATATAAAATAACTTCATGTCATAAAAATTTTTTAATTAATTTTCAAAAAAGCAGTGAAAACTCAATTTTAATGGTAAATGTGTAGTGGTTTAAAAGCAAAAGAATGAAAGTGTCTTCTCAGGATATTAATTGATCATAGTCAAGTATGTGTTTCAGGGACAGAAGCTGACTCTCGGGGATAGCTCTAACAATATTAATGATATTTGCCAGAGACCAATGGAAACTTTTATTTTAATTGGATACTATTCTTTATGGTGACTGGAAACTGGAATCTGTTAGAAAATTCTGCTAGAATTGTAATAGGAAAGTAAAACAGGTTTGGGAGATACAGGTTCTACACTACAACAGGTGTCACTTCAGTAATTAAACTGTTATCTGCACTCATGTGTGTTTCTCTTTTTAACAGTAGTAACAGCATCTCATTTCTGGTCCTCTGGCCACCTCTGGTGATCTCCATCATACCATTTTTGGGATAAAATCTAAACTGCTTATTATGAAAAACTAGCTCACAAGTTGGCCACAGTCTCTTCTCTAGCCTCATCTCTCTGCATGTACCCTTCCCCCAATTCTAACTTCCAGTCACACAGAACTGTCTTAAGTTTCCAAAATGAGTCAAATTCTTTGCCTCCAGGCCTTTGCACTGATTTCTCTACTGTCCCCCTCTACCAGCAATGCCTTCCCAACCTCCTACTCCCTGGCCCCTACCTTTTTTTCAGGAAACCAACTCCTACAGACCTTCAAAACTCAGCTCTGGTGTAACTGATTTTTAAAGTCTTCTAGAATTTTAGTTTGGGTTAGCAACATCCCCCTAATAGCCCATGTCTGTCTGTCTGCCTGCACCTCTTTCTCTCTCTCTTCTTTCTCTCTCTCTCATTCTCTCCCACACACACACACACACACACACACACACACACACACACACACACCCATACTTTTAGACCTTTATTCACGTATACTGTATAGTAACCATCTGTAATTAACTTATTTGGTTTGGCACACATCAGTAAAAGTTGGAACTGTATTTTCTCAAAACAAAACAAAAACAAAACACAAAAGCCCTCCCCCATCCCTGTCATTTCAGGGGAAAAAAAGAAAAGAAGAAAGAAAACCATACACTCCAAAGTACATGGTATTGAATTTCAAACATTACTTTATAAACATGCTAATGATATTGACAAAGTCAAAGTTCTGGAAATCTTCATGCTTTGATATGGGAACTAAGATATGAATATGGGCGTTCCAAGCATTTTTAACTTTTATTTATAGATGATTGCTTATTAATTCAAGTAACAGTCACCGAGTCCTTTACTGTGACAAAAAATGTGCTAGGCAATAAGGATACAAAAGATGAGTTAACACAATTTTTCCAAATCAGGTTTCATCATAGTGAAGTTTCCAGATTTTACTTATCAGGTATTTGAGTAGCTGGGGGTAAAAAATCACATGCTTCAATTTTTTATCTGTCAAATAAGGATAACTTCACAGAGTTATTAAAAGAATTATTTGAGCAATGTATAGTGCTTAGGGCAATGTCAGCATATATATACACTAAATGAATATTACCTATAGGATATAAAAACTAGTATTTCTTAGAATTTTGTTTTTACTAATATGTCAGTTCTATTATTATATTTTATTATAATTCATGCATTAGTATTTCCACTATCTCCCTTGCCCTGTAAAATAACCTATCCTTCCAATTCAAAATCTAGTCTTAAGAATATGAATCTTCCTGGATATTTATCCCACCTCTGGGCAACAGAACCTCAGGAATCACTTGGTTGATGGTTGTCTATCAGCCAGGGTCAGAAAGAAGCACATTTCAGAGATTTACACTGGTGCCAAATTCCTTTCAGACAAATAATTTATTGTTTTGTTTTGTTTTCTGAGTTTTTTCTTGGGTCGGGGGGGGGGTGTTCTAGCTTTTTATCTTTGTCACAGATGGCTTTTCAGCTAACATGCTATTGAAAAAGATGGAAGCCTTAAATTAAGAATTAAACAGTTTAAGGTAGTAAGTAACACAGCACTGTGGTTGAGCCAGATTTTTGTTTCAGATAGGTTTGGCTCTGCCATCTTCCAGCTGAGTGACTTGAGCAAGCTACCAAACTTTCTGATTGTGAGTTTCTTCACCTGTCAAACAGGATAGATAATAATCATTTCATAGGGTTGCTATGAATATCAAGAGGTGAAAAGTTTAGTACCGTACCTGGCACATAGTGAGCTTTCACTATTATTATGAAATAACCTGAGAAAGGTTTTTTATTGAAATTGTTTTATTTGTATTGCCAAAGAACTAGTTACAAGTTCATGTACTCACTAAATTTACCTTTGAAGAGCTTTCAAATATCTGGAGAAAGGAGTGTACCTTTTCAAAATTCAACATACTGTGCTAATTATTGTAATTAGACCTAATTATTGTAAATCCCTTTCTTTTGGTAATTTTGAGGTTAAACAGACTAGATACAGGAATCATAGAAATAAAGAGTTTTGATACATGGAAATATATTTTTGGCAAAGAAAATATTGCTCTAGAATTGTTAAATTTTCCGCTATATTCTAATCATTCTGCCAGTAAGGAAAGAATTTTTAACATCATGGCTAATAATTTCATGTCATATAAATTTTTATTTATTTTCAAAATAGCAATGTGAATATGGCACCAACTCAGTAAAAAAAATGAAATTTGTATTTTTGTCCTTATTCCTTTTATAATATCAGATATTTTAAAAGTTAGCATTTTCAAAAAGTTAAAAATTCATAAAAACTAAAAAATCTAAAATTAAGTATAAAATGTCAATAAGCTTCTTGTATCACAGGCACATTATTTTTAATAATAGGGATAATAAATAATAGGGATAAAGATAATAGGGAAGAAGGGTGGAAGGGAAGGACAGAGGAAAGGAAAGATGAAGGGAGGGACAGAATCTCAGAAAAAAATGCAGAAAAATTTATAAAGGCCCCAGGAACCTAGATTAATTCAAGTAGATACGTCTAATAAATTGTTGGCTATACATCTAATATGGGCCAAAGCTTAGGATTTAGTCTACAACACACACATACACACACACACACACACACAGACACACAGCCCAATCTCTGGGAAAAACCAACATATAAGGAACAAGTTGGTAAAGAAAACTCATAAAAGAATTTAATAACAAATATTTAAAGAGCCAAGCCAGGACAGAGTAATGTACGGAAGCTAAGAGAGGGTTTTCAGAAGCAGGGAGAGGTCAACAATGTCAAATACTACCCAAATGTCACGCAAAGGACCGAAAAGTATCTATTTGGTCAGTAATCAAATCATTGGAGACCTTAATAAGAGCAGTTTTATGGTAGCAGAGGAGTGAATCAGACTGTAGCAGGTTCAGGAGTGAATAGGAGGTTGGAGAGTACAGAGAACTCCATCAAGAACTTTAACTGAAATACTGTTATAGATAACGTCTGCAACTTATATACTGATTTTTAGTAAATTCATTCCTGGAGATTTAAGATAGAATTGACATATATTTATATTATGTTATATGTCAAATATTTTTTTTTTAAAGAGTTGGCAGGACTTGATGATTAACTGATGCCAGGGTACCTACTAAACTTGCATCTTCTTGTTAGGCCCTCCTCCCCATCTAGTAACCACAGCATCGAAATACATGTATTATCTATTCTTTTCACAATGTCAACCAGACAACCCTATGGGAAAGCACAAAAGTATTCCATAGAAATGTCATTTGTACCATTCAGGAATTCAGACTATAAGTAATTTAGTTTCCTTTTTATCAGGGAGGGGGCATTGGTGGGATATGAAAGCGGCTAATAAGTAGGTGAGCATACATCTACATTTGTCTAGGACTATCCAGGTATAATTCTGTTTTCCTGGTATAGTGCTCCCTTCACTTCAAGACTGTTCTGGTTTGCACAATGAAGCACTGGATCACCTTACTTATAAGCCTCTCTGGAAGAATTATTATCTCAAGTCATGCTAGTAAAGATTAAATCATAGACTACCAAAGAGACTGTCAAGAAAACTCTTAACTATGTAAGAGTTACTACTACTATAGCTACTTAAGAGAATAATAGATTGAAGTGTACAAACCTTTTGGAGATATGGCCATATTGACATTATCACAATAGAAAATCCTGTAAAGAAGCAAACCCTGTTATTTATACTTAAAATGATGTCATTACTATTTATAGATACAATTTTTTAAACTATAACATGGGTTTTAAAATATCATTCTCAATTTACAAATTTATTCCCCCAAATGTTTAACTTATTAAGCAATGGAATTGTATTTATTAGAAGGGAAATAAATATTAAAGACTTGAAAATCATATGTAATTATAGTCCCTGGTCATAATTGGGGTAATAAAAGCAGAGGACCTGTTTCTCCTTATTCACGTCTTTACTGTAAACAGAAATAAATTACTGAAAGCTTTGTTAAGTTCTTACAAGCAGAACTGAGTGGACGAAAAGCTACCCTGTTAAAGAGGAAGTGGTAGATTTCTAATGTGTGTTGTTTGGCAGAGATAATCAACAGTAGGGAAATCTAGGAAAAGGAAAATGATCATATAAAGGAGGAACTGGCTATAAAGAACCAGGAGGCTTCAAGATGGCTATACCTTAAAAGAAAACTCATTATCTCTGCTACCCTTTATTGCTTAAGAGCTGTAATGATAAACTCCAATCCTATCTGTCAATTTTAAATGTTACGCATATTCAATCAAAATTCTATAAAGGCCATTTAAAAAAAAAACACTTTTATTAAGATATACTTCACATACTATACAATCTACCTATTTAAAACACTCAGATTAGTGGGTTTTAATATAATCAAAGATATGTGCAACATCACCACAGTCAATTTTAGAATATTTTAGTCACATCACAAAGAAACTCTGGACGTTTTAGCTACTATTCTGCTGCTTTCCATCCTATTGCTCACCAGCCTGAAGCAACTACTAATCTACCTGTCTCTATAGATTTTCATATGAATAGAATCAGGCAACATGTGGTCTTTTGTGTCTGGCATCTTTCTTAGCATAATGTTTTCAAGCTTCATCCATGTTGTACCAGTATCAGTACTTCATTCTTTTTAGAAAGCTTATATTAAAAATAGTTTAATTATTAGTTTAATTTTAGTGTATTTTGAATTGACATTGACTTTGATGAAAAGCAGACTGAAAGAGTAAACTAATATTTGAAATCAAGGCTCAATTTCACAATCAAGAAACTTAAAAACAGGTAAAATGTTTAACATGCTAATTAAAATCTAAAGTTAAAATAATTCTTTTTTGCTATTAAAATGGAAATTATTTAATTTTAGATAATGGAGTACTAAAAGTTAAAAGTATTTCATTTTATTTATTATATTTTATTTTATTTCAATTCCTGTATAGTTAACATACAGTGCTACATTAGTTTCAGGTATACAATACAGTGATTCAACACTTCTATATATTACCCAGTGCTCATCATGACAAGTGCACTCCTTAATCCCCAATCACCTATTTCACCCATTCTCCTACCTCCCCCTCCCCTCTGATAACCATCAGTTTGTTCTCTATAGTTAAGAGTCAGGGTGCCTGAGTGGCTGCGTTGGTTAAGCGGTTAAGCATCAGACTTTTGCTCAGGTCATGACCTCCCAGTTTGTGGTTTTGAGTCCTGCATTGGTCTGTGCTAACAGCTCAGACAGAGCCTGGAGGCTGCTTGGGATTCTGTGTCTCCCTCTCTCTGTCTCTCCAAAATAAATAAACATTAAACAGTCTATTTCTTGGTTTGTCTATCTTTTTTTTTTTCCGTTGCTCATTTATTTTGTTTCTTAAATTCTACATACTTGAATTGAGCAAGTATCATATAGCAAAATCATATAGTATCTGTCTTCCCCTGACTAACTTATTTGGCCTAACATTATACACTCTGGTTCCATCCATGTTGTTGCAAATGGCAAGATTTCATTCTTTTTTATGGCTGAATAATATTCTGTTGTTATTAAATAAATTAGAAGTACTTTATTTTTTAAATGTTTATTTTTGAGAGAGTGTGTGCAAAAGTGGGGGATGGTAGAGAGAGAGGGGGACAGAGAATCTGAAGTGGGCTCTGTGCTGACAGCAGAGAGCCCGATGAGAGGCTCAAACTCAGAAACTGTGGGATCATGACCTGAGCCAAAGTCAGACACTTAACCGACTGAGCCACCCAGGTGCCCCATAAATTAGAAGTATTTTATTTTATTTTATTTTATTTTATTTTATTTTAACTTTTTAATATTTATTTTTTAGAGAGAGAGGGCGCGTGTGCAATCAGGGGAGGGGCAGAGAGAGGGGAAGACAGAATATGAAGCAGGCTCTGGGCTCCAAGCTGTCAGCACAGAGACAGAAAAGGGGCTCGAACCTACTAACTTTGAGATTGTGACCCGAGCCAGAGTTGGATGCCCAACTGACTGAGCTGCCCATGGAAGTTAAATGAAAATAATTAAAAGCTATTGCAGAGGTTGCTATCGACACAACACTCATTGTGTAGGTAGAATCCTCCTTCCTGATAGAATCCCATTTTTTTTCAGGTATCCATCATTCCTCCACAAAGCCACAGACTTTAAGAGAAACTGTCTCCAACCCAAATTCCAGAGGGTAAATCCAGTTAGTCTAAAGAATTCAATCAGGATAATCCCACTATCCTAGTTGATGATGGGCTTAGAAATTGACAGGGTCCAGTTCTGACCAGTGAAAAGGGAAGGGAAGTCTACTTCAGGACCTCTAAGAAAGGACTCCTTATCTCTGTGCAAATTAAAAAAAAAAAGTCCCTTTTGATCAATAAAAATTATCATGAATGGATGTGACACCTTGGGCTGCTGCTGCAACCTTGCTATAGTGAAGTCAGTGCATCGAAGAGGAGAAAACCAAAATATGTAGTGGGAAACAGAACCAAAACCTCAGTGAACTTCACCTGGAGTTGTCCTACTATGGGTATCTTACAAGAAAAAATAAATTACCGTTTAAGCCAATTTGAATCAACATTTTTCCCCTGATATTTGTAGAAGGCACCCTAATAGATACACAATCCAAAATGAAATTGCATTACAAAGAATTGTTGAAAATATCCTTTATTTTGTACTTTTCTTTCATTTTAGCTTTATTTAAAATATATTTTTACTCAGTGTGAGAGAGTGACTGGGGTAAATAGAAAAGATAAAGAAAAGTAGTTTTAAAAATTTAGTAAAATGGCCTTCAGTAAATCTGTGTCAGGGAAAAGATACCACCTGTAAAATCTGTGCCTATAGACTTAAAGGATCTAAACTTGGAAAAAGAATGGATTCCCTGAAACACTTTTTTAAAAATTGTCACAGTATTGATAACTTCTATATATTTTCATTCTTTATCATTTTAACATAAGTACAGTTCTTAACATTAAAATTTCCTCATGAAGTTTTACTTTTTAGTAACTATATTTTCAGAAATAATGTTAATATATTAAAATACATCAAGGTATACAGATTAAGATTCTTGCTTTACTATTTGTGTCAATGTGGTGGGTTAGTCAGTTAAGCATCTGACTCTTGATTTTGGCCCAAGTCATGATGTCGAGGCTCATGGGATTGAGCCCTGCTTCGGGCTCTGTGCTGACAGTGTGGAGCCTGCTTGGGATTCCCTCTCTCCCTCTCTCTCTCTGCCCCTCCCCTGCTCACTCTCTCTCAAAATAAATAAACTTAAAAAAAATTAAATGAGTTCACAGGCAGCAAAAGAAAAAAAAAAAAAGCAGATACATTGGACTACATCAAAATTAAAAACTATTGTGAATCAAAAGACACAATCAGTAGAGTAGAAAGAAGAGTCCGAATGGTAGAAAATATTCACAAATCATTTATCTGATAAGGAGTTAATACCCAGAGTACATAAAGAACTTCTACAACTGAACAACAAAAACCTAATTAAAAAGTGGGCAAAAGATGGCGCGCCTGGGTGGATCAGTCAGTTAAGCGTCCGACTTCGACTCAGGTCATGATCTCATGGTCCGTGAGTTCAAGCCCCACATCAGGCTTTGTGCTGACAGTTCAGAGCCTGGAGCCTGCTTCGGATTCTGTGTCTCCCTCTCTCTCTGACCCTCCCCTGTTCATGCTCTCTCTCTCTCTGTTTCAAAAATAAATAAACATTAAAAAAAATTAATAAAAAAAAGTGGGCAAAGGACTTTAATAGATATTTCCCCAAAGATATACAAATGGCCAATATGCATATGAAAATATTCCCAACATTACTAATCATTAGGGAAATACAAGCCAAAAAAACCATGAGAGACTACTTCATGCCCATTAGAATGACTCATATTAAATAAACATAAAAGTTGGTAAGGATGTGGAAAAATTTGAACCCTGCCTGTTGGTGGGAATGTACAAATAGTATAGCAGCTATGGAAAACAGTATAGCAGTTCCTCAAAAACTTATAAATAGAACTGTTATGTGATTCAGCAATTCTACTTTTTTTTTTATTATTATTAATGTTTATTTACTTATTTTGAGACAGGAAGAGACAGAGCACACAAGCAGGAGAGGGGCAGAGAGGAGAGAGAATCCCAAGCAGGCTCTGCACTTATAGTGCAGAGCCCAGCTCAGTTAGTGGCTTTGATGGGGTTTTTGAATGGTGGGGGTTCGAAGCTGACATCGAAGAAACAATTCTTGAGATGTCTTTGGTGCAAAAAAGGTAATTTTATTAAAGCACGGGGACAGGACCCATGGGCAGAAAGGGCTGTGTTATAAAGGTGACCTTTTATATATCATGGAGCTGGGGAAGATAAAGCCAAGAGGAAGTTCCTAAAGGGATTTTCATATGTTAAAGAAGATTCATTATACAACAGAGGCCTAGGAATTGTCAAGCTAAGGTTGTTTTTCCTCTAGTAAGGCATACATTAGGACAGTAGGGGGTTCCTGGAGAAAGCCCGAACTCCTTTCCTTAGTCATTTCTTTACAATCGCTGGCCTTTGTTAAAATAGTATATAAGCCCCCAACTCTAACCATTTCTTTGGAGTTTTCACTTTTCTATAATGTATAGTGTATAGGTCTGTATAATGTAAAAATAACTAACATCAAATAAATGTATAAGCTTTTTTTCTTGTTGATCTCTCTTCCATTGCTTTATTTTGAAGGTACCAGCTACAGAACCTAAGAAAGTAGAGGAAAAGATTTGCCTACCCACCATATATACAATAGACTATTATTTAGTCTTCAAAAGAAAGGAAATTCTGACTCATAGTATAACATGGATGAACCTTGAGAACATTATGCTAAATAAAATCAACCATTTGCAAAAAGAAAAATACTGTATGATTTCACTTATATGAAATATCTAGAATCATCAAATTCAAAGAAACAGAAAGTATGGTGGTTTCCAGGGCCTGGGAGGAGGGGGAAATGAGGAGTTGTTTAATGGGTAAAGAGTTTTAGTTCTGCAAGATGAAAACATTCTGAAGATTGGTTATTTAACCATGTAGATATATGTAACACTTCTGATCTTAGAAATGGGTAAGATGGGAAATTTTATATTGTGATTTTTACTAAAATACAAAATAATTAAAAAAATGAAGTGACATTAAAATAAGATACTTTATCTGAAATTTTTAAATTCTATATAATTTCTAATACTTACCTACACTGCTGAAAAACATAGTAAGATACAGAATCCTAATAGATATCCATCGGCTCTTATAATGCTCTTCAGTTTCTATAATATCCCATTCTCTAGGTGTAAAGAAGAAAAAAGTAGTTTAATGTTATCTCATTATGTGCAAATCTTTCTGTGGCACAATTTTATTTTCTCTCTCCTAAAGTAATAAAAATGCTATGACAAAGCTATAATTTATTAATATTGATATTTGCTGTACTAATTATCTATGAATAAGCAATATTTCTGTGAATTTCCATGGATTATACTTGTGCTTTATTACACATAGAAACTTGGGAGACATGAGGTAGCTTAAAAAGGCATAACATTTTGTCAACCAATTATTTTGATATCATTGACTTGCTACAAATTGAGTGTTGGAATTTGTTAAACTGACAAAATAAAGTCTATCAAAATAAATCAAATAAACTAGCTACAATTAGATCTCACACTGATGGGATATACAACTACTACATATTTTAAAAAAATGATTACTGTCATCATTATGACATGTTCTACTTGAGGACAGTAAATTGACTTTGCTGTAGGAAGCTATTTTGGCAGGGTACTTTCAGCAAAATTAATATAGAAATGACACCAGAAAAGTTTAATGTGACCTAAGACATTCCTAGTCCTGGGACCTCTAGAACACTTGCCTTTGCTCCAACATGAGTTACCAGACAAGTTCTGTTAGTTGACTAAAGAGAGTCCAAGGTCCCTCTAGACTGGGTTGATCTCTCATATAAGCCTGTGACCTGGAGTAAGGGCAAGTATATTAAGCACACACACTACTTCAAGGGTCCAGGTGATATATGTATCATTACATTTTTACATACACATATAGAATGAGTTAACAAATTTGCCTTAATATGAACAATATGTTTTCAAATAATTAAGATAAACACAACAGGCAAAATGCCTTCTTATGTTTAAAAGAAATTTTCTAAAATAGACCTTAGAGTTGTCAACTTAGTCTTCAAAAAAGAAACTTTTTTTTTCAGATGTGTTGTGACCGGGAGTGGTAGAGAGTGAATGAAGAAGAAAGATAACATTAATTAGATCTACTATGTGCCAGGTATGTTAGTTATTGATACAATATATATGAATATGCCATTCCATAAAAATAGACCTTTCACCATAATGTAGCATACTTGAAAAATAGCAGAATCCCAAAGGCCTATAAAGATCTTCTTTGACTTACAGTTGGGTTACCTTCCAACAAACCTATTGCAAGTTGGAAAAAATTAAGTTAAAAATGCATTTAATACATCTAACCTACCAAATATCAGAGCTTAATACCTCATTCTACCTTAAACAGGCTCAGAACACAAGCATTAGCCTATGGTTGAGCAAAATCACCTAACACAAAACGTATTTCATTACAAAGTATTGAATATCTCATGTAATTTATAAAATACTGTACTAAAAATGAGAAATGCAATGTTTGTATGGGTACAATGGTTGGAAGTGTATAGATTGGCTACTCTGGTGATCACATGACTGATTGGGAGCTGAGGCTCGCTGCCACTATCTCGCACTGCAAGAATATTCTACTATTCCTAGCCCAAGAAAAGATCAAGATTCAAAACGTGAAACATGGTTTCTACCAAAAGTGATCACTTTTGCACCAATGTATCATTGAAAAATCTTAAGTTAAACCATTATAAGTTGGGGACCATCTGTATTTGGAAATCAGTATTTTGGAATTTGGGATACATAATGCAGATGATTACAGAGCAGGAAAAGGTATGCACCATTCAATCCCACAGCACTGTATTCTGGTATTACTTCCAGCACTGGGTATTACACTTTTAATGAACCCATTATTATTTCCTGGAGATAAAAAATTAAACTGACCAGCATAAATAAGAACTATCATTAAAATAAGCCTGGGGGCGCCTGGGTGGCTCAGTCGGTTAAATGTCCGACTTCGGCTCAGGTCATGATCTCACGGTTTGTGAGTTTGAGCCCCATGTCAGGCTCTGTGCTGACAACTTGGAGCCTGCAGCCTGCTTCAGATTCTGTGTGTGTCTCTGTCTCTGTCCCTCCCTCACTCACACTCTGTCTCTCTCTCCTTCAAAAATAAATAAACGTTAAAAAAAAATAAGCCTGAAAATGTCAAATAACTGTTTTGCTCAGATCTTATCTAAGTTAGGAAACCAGAGAAGTAAATAATTTGATTGTGAAAAAAATGTAATAAAATTGTTTATTTGAGAGACTTCAAATCGATTTGGAGCTCAGTCAAAACTTCCTTTTTTTAATAACAGCTATTAAATATTGAAGGAATGACAGAATTATAAAATCACTATTTAATAACTAGTTTCCATGTAATAATGGATGAAAGCAAGGGTCGTTCATGGATACAAAAACAACTGGTTGAAAGGTTGGTGAGGACAGGATAGTCACAGGGCCTCAAAGTATCACCTCACTATCTACTTTCCAATTACAAAATGGAAAATTAAGTTTTATACCACTCACCCTCTTTTTGTTTTTATTTTTATAGAGAGGGACACACACACACACAGACAGATGCAAGTGGGGGAGGAGAAGAGAGGGAGGCACAGAATTTGATGCAGGCTCCAAGCTGTCAGCATAGAGCCCAATGTGGGGTTCGAACTCATGAACCTCGAGATCATGACCTGAGCTGAAGTTGGACATTTAACTGACTGAACCACCCAGGCACCCCAGCAGTCACTCCCTTAACCAAGTGGTCAAGCTTGGCATCCCCAATAGTGGGATGGCCTAGCATTTGGTGTCTTCTAACATTAATATATTGACATATTCTCAACATAACCCGTGGGATGTCCATGCCAGGAATGTTTGACGAGGACCTATTTAAAAAGAAAAAAAAAAAAAACAAAAAAAACAAAACAGGCCAGGGGAGGGACCAAGACGGTGGAACAGCATGGAAGTTTTTTTGCATCCCTTGTCCTGAAATACAGCCAGATCAACACTAAACCATTCTGCACACCTAGAACACTGATTTGAGGATTCACACAACAATCTGCACAACCTGAACCAGATAACTCAGCAGGTACTCAACACGGAGAGGTGAATTGGAGGAGAAAGTTGTGGAGGGCACAGAGCTGGTTTTGCTTGTGGAGAGAGGACAGAGATGGGGAGAGTACAGAAAGCATCCCCCCTGCCCGAAAGCAGCTGGAGAGAAAAGAAAGTATGCAAGGGGCTGAACAAAAAGGGAGAAAGGAGCAAAGAGAAGATTTAAATTCTATTAAGACTATAAGCGGGGGGAGTCCAGAGTCTGAAGCTCTGCAGCTTGATACGTGGTGGTGCACTGGTAGGGTGGGTGAATCCCCAGGAGCAGTGGGTGAGGTCCTCAGGGCCCTCGGGTCACACAGGGAGAGGCAGTTCCCTTGCTGGGAGGACATTTGGTAGAGGCTGTGCAGCCTCCCCACAGGCAAAGGTCCAGTGGACCCCCTACAACAACCACATTGGCTGGTGCTGGAACAAGGATGTTAAGGGGTAAGCCTGGTGCCAGATGTGTGTGATTTTCCATAATCCCTGAAATGCTGCTGCTACATGACCACGTGAACTTTTTCTGGGGTGGGCTGGCACCCAGATGCAGTCCCCAGGCATCAGCAGCAGCATGGTCTCCGGAATGTTCCTGGGGTAGGGCCGGCACCCAGCCATTGCTCAGTGAGACCCTTCCCAAGAAGGTCTGAGCTGGTCAAAGCCACAGTCCCTCAGAAGTGAGGGGTGGAGAAACACACCCACATCTGAGATAAAACTCAGGAGGGAGGTGCCACCAGGCAACCTGGTGGCTTGGTCACGGACAGTGTAAAAGCGGGGGAGTGGATGGAAGCTGGAGAAAAAGGAGGGGTGTGCAATTGCTGGTTGGGGAGAGCACAGAGTTCTGATACTAGAGGCTGGGTAGATGGGTGATGCCATTTTCACACCTCCCACGCAAGCACATTCACGCCTACATGTGCCACAGCAATCCACCCCAGTAAACTAAGCAGCTGCACCTAATAGAGAACAGAGCTGATACACCAAGCCCTGGCCAACTGGACCAACCTCACTCTCCAGAAACAACACAAGTCTCTCCACCTGCTTAGTTTATGGACTATAAAATGCTTCATAGTTTGACTTCTAGGGGAAACTGATGTAATTTCAATCGTACTTCAGTCTGTTTGCTGAACCAACTATTCAACTTTTTTTCCTTTCTTTTCTTATTCTTGAATATATAAAGAGAAAAAATTTATTTTTATTCTCCATTTCTATCAAAAATATTTTTAATTTTTTTCTATATTTTTTTTACTTTTTTGTAAATTTTTCAAATTCTATTTTTTTACTTCCATCATTCCATTTTAGTCTTTCATTGTATTCATTTTTTCAAATTTTCAAACATTTTCCTTTTTTTTTCTTTTCTTATCTTTCCCTTTTTTCTCTGATCTATCAAGCTCCTTTTAGCAACAAGACCAGAACACACCTAGGACCTAGCAACCTTTATTTGATTTTTGTGTGTTGCTTTTAATTTTTTAATTTTAATTTTTTTTACCTTATTAATTCCTTTTCTTCCTTCAAAATGATGAAATAAAGGAATTTACCCCAAAAGAAAGAACAGGGAGAAATGACAGCCAGGGACTTAATCAACACAGATACAAGCAACATGTCTGAACCAGAATTTAGAATCACGATAATTAGAATACTAGCTGGAGTTGCAGATTAGAATCCCTTTCTGGATAGATAAAAGCTAGTCAGGATGAAATAAAAAGTGCTATAATTGAGCTGCAATCTCCAATGGATGCCACAGCAGCAAGAATGGAATGAGGGAGAGCAGCAAATCAGCAATACAGAGGACAAATTTATGGAGAACAATGACGCAGAAAAAAAGAAGGAGATTAAGGCATGATTAAGAGCATGATTAAGAATTAGAGAAATCAGTGACTCATTAAAAAGGAACAGCATCAGAATCATAGGGGTCCCAGATGAAGAGAGAGAGAAAGGGGTAGAAGAGTTATGTGAACAAATCATAGTGGAAAAGTTCCTAACCTGGGGAAAGACACAGAAATCAAAATCCAGGAAGCACAGAGGACTCCCATTAGTTTTGACAAAAACC